CCTGCACCTCTTCCCCTGCACCCCTCTTCCCCTGCACCCCTCTTCCCCTGTACCCCTTCCCCTGCACCCCTCTCCCTGCACCCCTCTCCCTGCACCCCTTCCCCTGCACCCCCCTTCCCTTATATCCCCTGCCTTTCCTGTGGGGCCCTTTTCTCAAGACCGGAAACCAGGGTCTCTTCAAGTCGGCCTCTTTCTGTCCTCAAGCATTTCACACTGAACTGGTCCCCAGGGCCTTTGGGTTGTTCCCCTGAATACCTCTCATTCTCTCCTTCTCTCATAGTCACGGATTTCTGTCACAGTCAGTCTTTTCCAAACTATTACAACTGCCTGGTTTTTTTTTTTAATCTTTAAGTAACTTTTTGTTTATATAAAAGATACAGGGATCCAGAGATACATAAATGGTAATCTCTGCCCTTGGGGAACTCACGGTCGTGGCTGGTCAGGGGCTGGTAAGCAAGCGCATCCCAAGACAGCGGGAGATGCACAGACAGGAGCGGGTGCTGCCTGCCGGGCCGTTCAGCTGTGAGGCGGGCAGCGACTGATGAAGCCGGCACTTGTGGCTGGCGGCGCTCCCACTGGCGCCCGGGGATGCATTTCTGGTCTTCAGTTTCTGTCTTACATTCTCTCCTGTCGCACGTTTGTAGATTTCCCAGATCTGACCCAGGCCGGGTTTGCGACATCTTACGCAGGTGGGTGGGCATCTTTCTTAGTAAACTGACCTTTATTCAGTTAAACTGGCAAGAGACATTTGAAAAAAGGAAAAAAAAAAAAAGCCCTAACCAATATACATACAGGGATGACTTCTCTGACACTCCGAGTAGCTTTCTGGGTTAAATGAGGCCTAACTCCAATAGACCTGAGTCTACCCACAAAATTAGCTTAGCCCAGGACACACCCAAAGCTCACAGTTTTGTTTTGTTTTTCTCGATTCTTTATTTATATATTCAGTACTCTGTAGCATTATCCACATGATCAGAGTGAGCAAATCTAAAACATAGACTCGAAAATAGCAGCTCAAATATTCCTGCCCATTAAAATGAGAGTTACGACTCGATCTGGGACAGGGTGGCCAGCGCGTCACCTTCTTTGTTTTCTGGGTGCCCCCCTCCCATGTCCTGCACCCTGGCCTGAAGCAGGGGAGTCATCCTGCATCCTGTAGCCTCACCCGTGGAGAAAACCATCTCCTCCAGCAGCGCCGAAGACAGACAGAGATTCCATAGATGCATCAACCCACCCTTCTGGCACTTGCTCCCATGGTCTCCCTGTCTGTGACCTTGGGCTCACCTGGATGACCAGTATCCGCCACCCTGATAAAATGTTAGCCCAGCGGATGGAAATGGAAGCCAGACTTCAGGAATGGACTTCAGCAAACTGTGTTCTCAAAGGGCTTGTGGAGCTGCCGGTGATAATTCTGGCAAGAGTCAGGAAACCAGTAGGGAGCTTCGAATTGGCTTACCTTACTATGGCCCTGGTTTTCTCCACTTGAAAGTGGACACGGCCTTCTCTGTTGGTAATTTTTTCAGCACGCACTTCCCCAGCTCTTTGCAGAGCCTCCTTGGTTTATCATTCAGGCTTTGGGTTAGCCACATGGGAGCCCCACCACCTACTGTACATGATCCTGTTAATGTCCGTCCTGTCGCTTAGCCACCCTGGGGAGTTTGTGGGTGCCCTTTCAGCCATCTGCACCCCAGAGCACGGGCAGCATGAGGCTGGGGACTCATGTGTGGCTCTGGTTCGCTCCCACGTCCCGGGTGCCCCACTGTGTCTGGGCATTTGGCCCTCAGTCCATGTCAGCTGAGGGGATGACCGGGGGTGATAGGCAGTTTGCCTATCTTTCCACTCTGTTCACATCTGCTCATCTGTCTTTTCAGGAGCCCAGCAGCCGGGGCTGCCGTATTACACCGACCCTGGAGGACCGGGGATGAACCCTGCTGGAAATCCCATGGCAATGGCTTTCCAGGTCCAACCCAGCTCACCCCACGGAAGCACAGCCTACCCTCCGCCCCCCTCTTACTGCAATACGCCCCCGCCCCCCTATGAACAGGTGGTGAAGGCCAAGTAGCAGGGGGCACGGCCCGTGCGACCTCACAGGGGAACAGGGAGGGGCACTTCCACCCCACCTCTCTGTCCCCATCGATGTTCGCTTCCAGGAATTGTCTTCTGAGCCACTAAGGGCAAATTCCTCCTTGATATCTTCAAAGCAAGCACAGCTCCCTTTCAAGTTTTCTGTGGAGAACCAGTATTTGAATTTATCCTGTGTCTCCTCTGTTGCTTCTGTTTCTGACGTAATCTGAGCTCTGGCAGCGTGTGGACAGTCCCCAAGGGTTGACACCCGAGATCCTCGGGAGAGAGACTAAGGAGAAGGAGCCACAGCAGGGCCCATGTGTGTAGGGGGAGCCCAAGGAGGGGCTGTTCTGGCCTAGGCAGCTTCCTCCCAAGCACACAGCAGTCAGCTCACAGAAATGAGGGCCTGCGGGGTCCACTCTTGGAGCCCCGCGTCCTGTCAGTCTTCCTCTTCAAGAAGCTGTTAGACTCTGGTGTGGGAGAGGCCTCATAGCACTTTCTATGTCCGTTCACTTCCCAGAGATGAGAGCGGCATCCCTTCTGCAAACCCAGGGCTGGGAGAGGACTGTGTACATCATTGAGGAGATGAGGATCCAGGTTAGGTCAGGTTGGATGTCTACAGTTACCTGAAAATCACTAAGGAAAGTTACTTAAATTTATGGGAAATTGATTTCCTGCGTCAAACTGGGATATTGCATTTTATGAACTCTTGGTCTGACTTGGCAGAAGTAAAATGTTTCCCCCCCTTTTTAGTGAGTTTGTGGAAGCTCATGTAGAGTCCGGTCCTTGAAAGTCAGACTCAGAGTGTCTTCTCTGAACGTCAGCGGCTGTCTGGCCTTGGTGCCTGACCAGAGGTCTCCACGCCCTTCCCTATGGCAGCCCTGGTGGTGGTTGTGATGGACACTTTCAAAGCGGAGAGGCACATCTGGCTGGGAAGTCACATCAGCCCCTTGGGGAGAGGTGTCCCGGCAGGGTCTGGCCAGCGGTTTGATCTCAGCAGGTGTGTGTGTGTGTGTGTGTGTGTGTGTGTGTGTCGGGCTCTGAAGAGCAGGTGTGTGTGTGTGTGTGTGTGTGTGTGTCAGGCTCTGAAGAGGAAAAGCTTGCTGAAAAAAAGACAGGAATGCAAAATCCCAGGACTGCCAGAAGATCTCTTCAAAAAGTACTGAATAGGATTCACTGACAACGTAATCAAAATTAGAATCGAAGATGTGGTTGGAAATGCAAACCCTGGCTAAGAAACATGTGTCACCCTGGGATCTAACAAGTAGTCACCGGGTTATAAGGAAGTTCTGTTCCTCTGCAGCAAATAATGCTGGTGGTGCATTTAAACCCAGATTGAGATCTGACCAGTTGTGTATAGGAAGACAAAGCAACGTGATAAGACAAGATGGGTAGATCTCCTGTGTGTGTAGTAGTGGAATGGTGGGGGGGGGCGGGCGCTTATTTTTGTAAAAACTAGTTGGAGCCTCTTGAGAAATTGTTTCTCATTGAACCTGAGCATCAGAACATCTCGCTGGAGTTTTCATTTCCCCAGACCAGGAGTCTGGGTGTCCCTTTGCTACTGGGATGTTTGTGTAGGGTAAGGGTGACAAATCAGGGCAGGACTGCAGCAACTGCTCAGACTTACCTTCCTGCAGAGATGGAGAGTCTGCAAGCCTCCCAGGGAATTCCACAGGAAATGCTGGGAGCCAAACACAAACCCTCGGAAACACAGTTTTTAAACGCAGATGGTGCTGCTGGAGTCTTCAGCTACCCTCATGTGACCTCCCAACTCCTGCCCCTGACGGCGGTACCTCTCCTCACTCTGGTCCTTGATCCAACTGAGGCAACAAAGCACAACATTTGCTGTTTACAGCCAAGGACAACTCCATGGGTCCAGAAGGTTCCTCTTCTTCCGGGTCATTCGTTTTGCATTTTTGACTGAAATTTCTCCCTTCACTTTTTTTTTTTTTTTAATAACGAAGCACAGTAAGAGCCGCCCCGGAATTGGATCAGGGTGCGGTTGAAAAAGCACCCAGATATCCGTGACTAAATTTTATTTATCTTTTTGATAGCAAATGATCTCAGAGACTGAACGATTTAGGTAGTGCTCAACAATTTTGTATTCCATGTTTGTGAAGATAAATTTTGGTTTCCCTTGAACCTGGGTGAGAACCCTTCTACAGTGAACGCTGATACTGTGTGTAGAAATTCCACTTGTGGTGACATTTCCTGGCCATTCTCATTCCGTCTGTGCTGACAGTGGACTGTGTCCCCCTCCTGGAGTGAGTCCAGCTCCTGGTGTGTTGAAGTCTTATAGAGTCAGTGGTTAGGAGTAAACTGGGAGCAGATCTGTGCATGTTTTTTCTCTGCAACATTTGGCTCATCCCTCTTTTTTTGTTCTCTTTTCATAGGGTCCCATTTCCTATGTGTGCAAAATAAAAAAATGAATTTGGGCACATGCTCCGATTGTTTTGTTGGGAAGTGGGGAAGAGGGTAGAGGTAAGGGTTCTAAGGAGGAAGGGCCCACAGTGGGTCGTGGGTTCAGCCAGGTGGGGGTGGCATGGAGGAGGCTGCGTGGTGCACTCAGCCTCAGGAGCTCCAGAAATTAGAAGCCGTCAAAGAATGTAAGGAACGTTTGGTGCCTCAACACATTTTAAAGATCTGGCTAAGGAAAAAATAATCTGAGGCAAGTAGAAAGACAGAAGCATTAATTAGATAAACTCACAGGTAACACTGACATTAATTATCCAGGGGGCCTGGATCTGCTTTCCACAGGTAGGTGAGCCTTGATTTTTAAAAAATGCAGCTCTTCAGGTGCCTGGGTGGCTCAGTCGGTTAAGCGTCCATCCGACTCTTGATCCCGGCTCAGGTCTTGATCTGAGGGTCGTGCGTCCAAGCCGTGTTGGGCTCCACGCTGGGCGTAGAGCCTACTTAATAAGAAAAAAAGAAAGGAAGGAGGGGAAGGGGGTGGGGAGGGGAGGGGAAAGGAGAGGAGAGGAGAGAAGAGAAAGGAAAAAAAAAAAATACAGCTCTACTGGGTCAGAAACCATATTTCTCCCACAGATCTATTGAAGGAGAAAGCTGCTACAGGCTGCACTTTAGATGAATCCCTAAGTGAGATAGTATTTATAAAGAAGCATACGATTTTAAAACAGGACAGGAAATAAGCCAGAGGAGGTCAAGCAGCTCCCTCTGGCGAAGTCAGGGCTAATTTACACACTTTACCTAATGTACAGGACACCCCACCAGGTTATCAACTTGCCCCAGCAAATTGGAAGCAGCCTCATTTATAAGTCAAAGGTCATGACTTGAGATGGCAAACAGTGACTGAGTGCTCACTTTTATCTGTTCCTCCCAAATTTCATTGAACTTCAAGAAATCTATAATGGCTCTCAAGGCAAAAAAAAAAAAAAGGTACAAGGGCAGAAATTCTGAGTAATTCTGAAATAGAAGATGGCAGGTCGGGTTGAATAATAGAGAAGACTGAAGCAGGAATGTTAAGAGAAGGTGGCTGGGGAGGTGAAAGCTTTACAGAAACTCCACAGGGAAGCCAGCAAGGGCCGAGAGCAAGCATGGGCAAGGGGCCTATGCCAGGGTAACGTTGACCTGTGGGTGTGCCGTGTTCTTTGCCCCCGGCCCCCAGGTAAGGGGGACAGCCAATTGCAGGAACTAACAGCCCCGCAGCCTGCTTTCTCACAAAGGGGACGCTCTGCATTGCAAGGTGTCGGGAGGTGGGCTAAGTGGTATCATTATCTAATTTTTAAAAACTGAGTTAAGCATCTTCTAATGTATCAGTTGATTAAAACAAGTATTTTCTAATGTGTCAGTCAGTTAAAACATTCATGAGCTGGGCTGCCATCCCTTTCCCACAGCCCCTGGATGCAACGTTGTAGAGAGAGCCCTGCAAAGTGGAAACCCAAGCACCTGTGAGAAATCATGACCCAGTCACCAGCACCACAGATGTGGAGGTTTTCTCTGGCCCCAGAGGAAAGAAGCTCAGCCGAGCTTTCTCCTGACTTGCACTACACCAGCCTTTCCACCCAACTGGCCAAGCATCTCTCAGCTGAAATGATCCTTAATAATTTGAGTTCTCAACTGCTAACACTCTGAATGCCAAAGATGACAGCACAAAGTAGACATGAGGGCAAGCCACAGGGGCATAACTACCCATTGTGGTATCATGGCGAGACTCTGGGCTCTGAAGATGGACAGCCTTGCTCCAGTCCTGAGTCTGCTGTTTGTTAGCCGTGTGTCTTCAGACAAATGACTTAAGTTTCAATCACTCGAATGATCTCAAGTCTGTTTCCTCAACTTTACACCAGGCTTGTACCTGGCACATTGTGGAGAGTCAACAAATAGTTAAAATCCTCTGTTCTCCCTCACTCCACAGTTCCTTGAGCAGGAGAAATTGAAGCACAGTGGGAGAGAAAACTCTCCCCTAATCCTTTGCCCATCTGATGAGACCCAGGGTGTAGGGGAGAAGATCCTTGAATACATCCTCCGTGTAGTTCCCATCTTTCAGACCCTGATTACATAAAGGTAGATAACAAGTGGTTATCTACTTGTTATTTATCTGCTGCTCAGCAGTGGGTGTGTTTTCCCTCACCATGTATTTAAGATGAGATTGGTGAGCACCACAGAATAAGCCATAAATTATAAGCAATATGTTTGTATGTTTATATTACTTTGGGTATTTCTTTTGCTGTCTCCCATCCCCCCACAACTTTTTATTGTAATGTTCCTGTTTTGGATTGGCTGTCCTGCACTGTCCAGGAAGGATCCTGCTCATTCCTGGGCACAAAGCCCTCCTAAAATGCTCTGGGGGTGCAGGGGTGATTATCAACACACTTCCCCCCCTGCTACCATCCTTGAAGAAGGGAGTTCTTGTGCTGGTCCCAAGAGTGTGTTGAGGGAGGAGGAGCATCACTCCATCTCTTTTCAACAGTAACAGGAATGCTGGAGTGAGCTGCATTTGTCTCCCTCTCTCTGGACTCTGGAAATCACAGACAGTCCCGAGATCCT